GCCACTGTCGATGACTTCGGTGCGACGGTTGTTGGCACTGGTGTTCCATAAGGTACCGACGTCGACGGTTTCGGAGCCGTTGTCGTTGCCTTGGGCGCCACTGTCGATGACTTCGGCACTGGTGTTCGATAAGGTGCCGACGTCGACGGCTTCGGGGCCACAGTCGTTGCCTTGGGCGCCGGTGTCGATGGCTTCGGGACTGCGGTCGTGGTCTTGGGTGCATCTGGCAAGGGCACAGGAGTTCCGTATGGTTTCGGCGTCGACGGCTTGGGCGCCGATGTCGTCGGCTTCGGGACTGGTGTACTATTAGACGGGTTCGGAGCCACCGTTGTGGCCTTGGGAGGCGCTGACGTTGACTTCGGTGTGTTCGTCGCCGGCACGGGCGCACCATACGGAGCTTGTGTCGAGGGCTTCGGAGGCGCTGTCGTCGGCTTTGGCGCCACCGTTGTTGCTGCTGGAAACACTGTTGAGGTCTTGGGCGCTGCCGTAGTGCCATACGGAGCCTGGGTTGACGGCTTCAAACTCGAGGGTTTCGCGACTTCTGTCACCGGGATCGGCGTACTGTACGGGCCGTGCGTCGACGGCTTGGGGGTAACCGTGGTGGCTTGAGGCGTTGGGGTCGATGGCGCTGGTGTCACCTTGGTTACCTTTGGCGCCTCAGTGGTAACCTTGGGAACCGTCGTGGCGGGGACTGGCGTTCCGTACGTGTTCTTTGTCGTCGGCTCTTTTGGCAAGACCGTGGTGGGCTTCGGCGCATTCGTTAGCGAACTGTACGGCGTTGTCGTCGTTGTCTTGGGCACATTCGTAGTAGCATTTGGTGTCGCATTCGTCGTCTTTGGAGTGTCGGTTCTCGCGGGCACCGTGCCATACGGCGTCAGCGTCGACGGCTTGCTTGTCATCGTCGGGCTTGGGGCGTTGGTGGCAGGCGTCGCCGTGCCGTACGGAGCAATCGTTGATGCCTTGGGCACAGCAGTCGTCACCTTGGGCGCGTCGGTGCTTGGTCGGGGAGTCCCGCACGGAGTCGGTGTCGACGGCTTGGGCACAGTCGGCGACGCTGTGGATACTTGCGGCGCATTGGTGATCGGCGCCAGCGTAGCGTAGGGCGGCCGCGTTGGCGGCGCTGTCACTACCGTGGACTCGTCGAGGTGCTTGAGATGGGCTTTTGCGGCCGTGCACCAGTCGAAGGAATGGTCTTTGAGCAAACTCGCGGGGCACTTGATGTTGGAAGTGTACGTCGGCGGTTGTCGCTTGAGCTGGATGCAGGCGTCGGGCGTCGTCGTTGGCAAACACGTCTTGCCGTCGGTCGACATGCACTCGACGTCGATGCCGTTGTTGCTCCAGCGCACGATCGTCGGGACGTTCGGAAAGCAGTTCCACGCGTTCCACGTGTCACAAATGTACGTGCCGCTGCGGAAGGAGGCCGTCGCGGCCCCCATCGCAAACGCAAGCCCGGCGGCGCCACGAAGCATGTTGAAAAGTGATCCGACATGGCACTTCATTGCCCCACGGGTCGACCACCTTGGGCGTGTACCTTCGACATCGAGCAAGAGAAGGGCAAGATGTATCACAATGTTCTTGTTCCAGAGCAAAAATTGAGAGCTTCGATTCGAACAATCGTTGAGCTGGATCGAACAATTGCCCCACACGATCGACAACCTGTGCACGCGTCTGTAACCGTCGACGCTGACTTGATCGAAACAAGAAAAAGGTTGCGTCTGGACGATGGCAAGTTGATTTGGTGACGATGCACGTGGCGAGGATCAGCCCCCGCGCTAGACTCGCAAACGAGCATCCAGTAAAATGAAGGTTCAACGACACCGTGTCGACGTCCCGGATCCAGCGGGCTACACGGCACAATACAGCTAGTTCCACGTTTCGAGCTACACCATACCCTTACACTGAATGATTGAAGCAGCCGCGGCTCGGTTCAGTCATGTCGTCTTTGTCAGAGATACGCGTGTCATAAAGTTCACAAGCAACATTTATTTTTGTGTCACACAACGCAATGCGGCAACTACATGCTTAGTTGTCGATGTAGTCCGGATCTTCGTCGTTGCCGATGTTGAACTCATCATCGTTCACGTCGTCGTAGACGTCGCCCTCGGCTTCGTCCGAGAGGAGGATAAAGGAAGCCGGGTTTTGGTACGACGATGGCTCTTGGTACGCCGACGGAGAATTTGTGTATGACGGCGACGGGTCTTGGTGTGCTGATGGTTGCGCGTACGTCGCCGGTTTCTGGTACGAAGGCGACGGCTCCTGGTAGGTCGACGGCTCTTGGTACGACGACGGCGGCTTCTGGTACGACGGCTGCGCGTACGTCGCCGGCTTCTGGTACGACGGCGCCGGTTGTTGGTACGTCGCCGGCTTCGTGTACGTCGCCGGTTTCGTGTACGTCGCTGGCTTCTGGTACGACGTCGCTGGCTTCTGGTACGTCGCCGGCTTCGTGTACGTCGCTGGCTTCTGGTACGACGTCGCTGGCTTCTGGTACGTCGCCGGC